AAAGGCCTTTTGCAGCGTTTTTTGGTCGCTGCAAAAGGCCTTTTTTGGCGTAGTGTAATAACTCACATAAGAGTAACTAAAAGGAAAAACATAAGAAGAATTGGACTCCTATTATCTCTATCACCACTATTATCAGCATCCATAAGCACTTTAAATTTCAAACCCCTTACAGTAGATTTATAAACTAACCCTTCATCAAAAGTACTCTTCAAGTACCTAAGAAACCACTCTAACGCTTCCTGATTTTTGGGACAAAGATTAGACATGTGCGTACTTAACACACTCACAGTGAAAGCCAAATCAAGTCTAGTGCAGACCATGCACACAACATAATCTAACCAATAACAATAAAGTAAGACACTTTACTCATAAATCCTTTTCCTCTTCATTCGCAAGAGATTGGTCTTTGGACGAAACAAAATGGTTTCCAAAAAATACAAAAGCGAGTTTGCAATCAAGTATATCAAATTTTAAGCACGTAAGGAGTTTGATGCATAAATAAGCAAGAATTAGACATATTGCTGTTAATAACCATGCCAAGGATTTTCCTAGCACCTCCTATGTCTTTCATGTCAAATTCTTTACTCAACTAAATTTTAATCTTGTTTATCACTGTTGTGTCAAGTCCAATCAATAACATGTCGTCCACATAAAATGCCAATACACACAATCTTTATTAGTGTTGTGGTGTTGGTAATACAAGCAATGATCGAATTCACTCCTCTTGAAAACTAATAGACAACACATAGGAATCAAACTTTTTATATCACTAACATAGAGACTTTTTTAGCCCATAAAGAGATTTCTTTAAAAAGCATACATGATCAGGTTTAGACTTACTTTCAAAACCTTTGAACTGATTCATAAAAATCTTTTGAGTAAGACCACCATACAAAAAGCAGTTTTGATATCAAGTTGTTCAAGTTCCCAATCATAGTTAACAACAAAAGCAAGCATTACTCTACTAGTGGTTTACTTGACAATTGACAGAAATATCTAATTATAATCTATCATTTTACTTTTGTGTGTAACCTTTGACTGCTAATCTGGCTTATATCTCAAGGGCTCAGTCTCTGTAGTTTTCTCTTTTATTTTATAGACACACTTGTATCCCACTGTGGATTTATCCTTAGGTCTAGGAATTAAATTATAAGTTTGATTCTTAGTAAGAGAACTTGTCTCTTCTCTCTTAGCACTTTGCCATTCCTCATTTTTTTCACTCCTCATGGCCTCATCATAGTTATTTGGTTCCTTATCAATTAGTTATTAGTCACCTATATAGGTTATGGTATAGTCAGACATCTTTTGGGGTTTCTTACATAGTATCCTCTCTCTATCTCTAACTAATTAATAATCAACTAGGGGATTTTGGTCTATAGGATTGTCCTCAACAATTTTCTCATCGCCTTCTATTTCTATATTCTTCTGATTTTGTGTATCATTCTCTACCTGCTCAAGGTAATGGGGATATGGACATTCATTCGCTTCACCTCAACTATGGACTATTCCCTAACTATTTTTTGCTGTTGTTTGCTCTCCATACAAAGCATCTCGGACTCATTAAAAGTTACATCTCAATTCATGATTATTCTCACACTCTTTTCTGACTTTTATCCCACAACCTATATCCCTTTACTCTCTCAAGGTAGCCTAAGAAGACACACTTCTTAGCTCTAGGTTCTAGTTTTTCCTCACTTTGATGAGGTAAAGCAGTACAGCCAAAGATCTTAAACATAGAATAATCAGTACATTTACCGTACCAAATCTTGTATAAAGTATCACCATTTAAAGTATCAGAATAAGTCATATTAGTCAGATAACATGAAGTCATAAGAGCTTCACCCCAAAAAAATGTAGGCACACCAGAACTTAACATCTAACTTTATCAAGTAAAGTACGATTCAAACGTTTTGCCACCCCGTTTTGTTGAGGTGTATATGGAAGAGTTTTATGTCTAGTAATTCCACATTTTT